GGAATCGATTGCACGATGTTGAACATCGCGGAATAGGATGACTGCTCCGCAATATTTATACAATAACGTTGTAATTTTGATCTGACGACAGGCATTTGTCCATAGACTTGTGCGGAATTCTACGCACTATCTGTTGAGGGTATGGGTGCGTGTGGATGTGAGGTGTGGGTGTGGGTGTGAGTGTGTCTGTGGATTTTAAAAAGAGAAGATCCACAACTCTACGCACACTTCACATGGACACTCACAACCACGACCACAGTCATAGCTGCCAACACCCCACACCCACACACCCACACGCACACCCACACCCACCCACACCCACACTCACACCCACACCCACACCCACACCCACCCACACCCACCCACACCCACACCCACACCCACACCCACCCACACCCACACCCACATTTCAATCTCTATTAAATAATCTAATGGTCGAAGAATATCAAAGTAATTTATCATATGAAAAGTATTATAATGAATGTTCACCATTATCATGTCAGTATTCAAATATGATAAGTCATGATGCAACTGAAGCAATAATATCTCTTATATCTCTTTATGGTGGATTATTTATTATTACTAATTGTTTAGCTGTAATTATTGTTAAAATATATCAACGTCTAATCCGTCGAATCACTCCAGAAGGTACTGAACAAAATACATAATTGATAAATAATAAGGAAATTTTGATTTTTTTTTTGAGTATACAATAGTGACCACAATTATAAAAACACCTGTTGGAGTTTAATTCTTTACTTTCCCTCGATCAATTTAGATTCTTCAATAAAGGAAAGTCTATGAAAACATATGCATCCGAGTATGCTCTACTCATATATGATATCGAATTTCCTCACTTCTACTTCTAAATTTGTTAGGATGAATGTCCATTAAAATCTGTCTATTCTTGCCTAGCCAAAATTATAAGAATAGTATCGTATTTTCGTTACTTTTCTATCAGAACAACGTTATTTTTGATTGAAAGTCACATAGAAAGATGAAGTAGCTTCTGCTGAATATTTTTATAAAAAAGATTTTGAAAAATGATCTATATTTCTATCTAAAATGAGATGTTTTTAATCAAGCCAAAATAGATTGAAAACAGCGTCTTATCTCATTATTTTGGCTACAAAAATTTAACAAAGAATTTAAATTGTTCTTTTTGACAATGGATTTGAATATAGGACACTTTTTACTTCAAAAAGAAATGTTCTCAAGCTCTGTGTGTCGTTTTCTTACGAAGATAGATACTGGTAGTACATAAAATTCAACATTTTCAATTCATTTCTGTGCTTTTTCTGCTAAAAAAGATCGATATTGTCTAGTACCTGTATGTATCTTTTTATCGAAACGGCACACACAGAGCTTGAGCACATTTTGTTTTTGAAGCAAAAAGTGTCTTCTATTCAAATCCATTGTCAAAAAGAATCATTCCACCTCTTTGTTAAATTTTTGTAGCCAAAACAATGAGATAAGACGATGTTTTCAAGCTATTTTAGCTTGATTAATAACATCTCATTTTAGAGAGAAATATAGATCATTTTTCAAAATTTTTTTTATAAAAATATTCAGCAGAAGCACGAGCAGAGCATATTCGGATGCATATATCACAGGCAAAATTAAACTTAGACAGAATTCGTTTTTTATTTAGGCGCGAAACGACAAAATGATTTCTTATATTTAAAAGTCAATTAGAATTCGTCACTGTAATTGAAAAGACAGCACGCAAATTTTTTTCATTGAGTTGACAGAAGATTCCTTTTCATCTAGTCAGACTGTGATTTATATAACAATCACTTCTTGTGTGTCGAGATCATAAGACGATATTCGCAAGTATTTTCATGAATAGTCAGTCAATAAATTCATTTTCGTGAATAGTGTGATTCCATCACGTTTAAACCACTTTCGTGGAACAGAACTCGAATTAATGTTTTGATTTGGTAGTTCATCCAACAACAACGTGAAAAGTAACTATGACCAAAAAATATGTATGTTGATTTTATAGATTTCGAAAAATGATGAGAATCTAAGCTGTTTGTATAGGTAATTTTCTACGAAAAGCTCTATTTTTTTCCTGATAAAAAATCAACATTTAGAATAAAATAACTTCACCCATAAAATATGAGAATAATAGATTTGAAAAAAATTCAAACAAAATGAACGCATTAATCGTAACCTTTGGAATCCTTTTCTTCTTCCTTATTGGTCAAATGAATGTTCTCTGTCGATGTAATTAAAATACGTATGTTGTGATCAATTGATTGAAATCGTGAAATATATACCATAGAATAAACACAATCTCTCTCAACCTTAAAAGTCCTTCCACTTTCCTTATTGTTGAGTCGAATGAGTGTCTCTCATTAAATATAATGTTAAACCTGAACTTCAGAAAGATTCACCTTCTCCTGTTTTTAATCGACACATATCATCTGTCAATCACGTTAGATGGATGAAAATCTAGCAAAAACAATACTGAAATTAAAAACAGTTTACTGATTCCTTATTTTGGTCGAGGCAACTATATTTTAACATAAGACACCGGTGGACTTCACAATAATCTAGATTCGGTTAAATCTCAATTAAGAACACTGGCGAACTTTGCATCCTTCTAAAACTTATTCAAATTTCTGTTGGGCAGATTGGTGAACCCTACAACTTGGTGAAGTCAATTAAATTTCAATATTAGATTTATCTTACGATGAAGCACTTTTATATTATGTCTAATTTTGCCTAAAGTCAAATTTCGCCTGAAACACATATATTCCTATAGACTTTCCTTTACTCAAGAGTCTAAACTGATTGAGAGAAAGTAAAAAATAAAATTCCAACCTGTGTTCTTATAATTGTGATCACTACTATATATTAGGACGCTATTGAAGGATGAATATATTGATGTTGTCAAAGCTTTTGATGTTATGTTAAAATTAATCAATAAATTGTAAGTGTTGTGAATAATACTGATATTAGGAATCCATACGAAATTTTGCGATTCTTCATTAGGCCCCAAACAGACTGAAAAAAATCAGACGAATTAAAATTGAATTAACGAATAAATCGTCTGGAATAGACGATTTAAGTCGGAATAGACCAATCACGTTGCTTAATTCAACTTTAAGTTAATTCATTTTTTTCAGTCTGTTTGGCCCCTTAGTTAAGGACTTTTTTCATCTACAGATGATGTCGGTTAAAATTTTCATCGAATACATTCCGCTTATGAACGGCTATCGAAGTTAGTTAAGATTTTATTGATCTCTTTTGATTTGTCTTACTCCTTGTCTATTTTGCATATAAAACAAAGAAAATACAAACATGCCCAGGATAATGCTTACGATGGTCGAAACACCCAAAAACGACAATGTATATTGTCGTTTTATACAGTTTACGATTGTAAAATAGCTGTGAATTGACGTTTGGTAGGGGCAGTTTTGCGAGTGTATTTTATCATGCCGTACAAAGTAAAAAAAGTGTCTGTCAAATGATCGCATCTTTTCTTCTGTTCATTTATATGAAAGTACAATAAAGCAAATATTTGAAGTTAATCAGATAACCATTATTAAACATAAAATAATTTTAGAAATGACTATTCATGTTGAAAAGAATATATATTGCTCAAAGATTAGGGATAGGAAAAATAGCGACGAGTCGCTCACTCACTTCTAATCACTTTTGTCATTCAGTCGCTATTTCACGTTGTCTATGCGAGATATAGTTTGTATATACCTTTATTATGTCATCAGCAGAACGAAAGGAAACAAAGAAAGATGATAACGTGGTTATGGATGCAGTAACTAAAAGTGACTCGCAATGAATAGATGTGTATCATACAAGTCATATAGTGGCAGGAAAGTTGATTTTATTTGTTAAAAGATATAGTATCATTTTTGATTTTAATAGTATTTTTGATTTTATTAATGTTATTAATACCAAACGAGGAAAAATAAAAAGTAAAGTGATTTCACTTATTCACTCTTCGACCGTTAATGCCGAAGAATTATCACGCAAGCTACCGACAGAAAGAGAACAAACCTGAACTGAGTAATTAAGTTTACACATATGATCTTCGACAACTAAGAACACAACTAAATCGAGAATGAAGAAGTAAACCAAACTAACTCTCTCGATGTCGTCCATAAGATGACGAAAAACTGAACAGATCACTATTGAGTAAAACAAAAGCGGACTACATTTATTTTGTTTCATAAAATGAGCTAGATATATCGAAATAAGTAAATCAACAAAGGAATATTAAAGTTGATTTGATGGCTACATTCCATCTATGAAATGCAAGCAAACGATCGGGAAAACTAAACGAAGAAAGAGAATAATCAAATGAGACACATCTATCACATTTTGTTCATATAATGCTCGATATTTATTAGGATAATTAAATGACCAAACAAAAAAATAAACAAAGCTTATCTTTCCAGTTTTTGTCGGAAAAATGCAGAAAAACTCTGAGTATAAATAGAGTAGGAAACATAAAATTAAACTAACTTTTTCTGTTTGCTCTAGGCACAACTGCACAGCAATCATAGTGAGCAAATGAAGATGAGAATATTAAAGCTAATTGCCTTCTTCCATTTCTAGAATAAAATCTGCTACAACAACCTCGATAGCTGGGATGGGGAGAGAAAAGAGAAATAAAAAGGAAACAGAACAAATCCATTCAATTTTGCTCATAAGACACGCAACAGTTAGAAGCAGTAAATGTAATCCTTGCTATGATAAATAGTTCTTTCGTTGACTCGTATGTTCTCGATTGAAAAAGTAATTGTTTAATGTTTCGTCAGAATTGTCCTAATAAAAGCTGCATTTGTGTTTTGTGAGTTTACTTTGTTTTCTAATATGTCGGACTATGCATTATTATTCCCAGGTCAAAGATGTACGGCAGGAAACGATAGGATCCTGCGAAATTCCGGCCATTTCATGGAAGCAGTATTCCAAAATCGGATCCGGCTTCCGGATCCTGCTTAGTTCCCGCTAATTCCTGCACCAGGATGCAATGTTCGGATACGGTTGTCATTTCCGGTCCGGTTCGTGACCAAGTTTCCGGTTTTATAGCACGCTAACCGGATCCGAGCTGTATACCTGCCGTTTCCAGCACGGTTCCGAACAAAGGTTCCGGTGTTTCTTCCCAACCGCCGGATCCCGGTTATAAAGCACCCATTTCCGTTCCATTTACAAAGCCCACATCCGGTCGTATTAAAGATCTGTGAAAGATATTTCGAAGATCTTTCAAAGACTATCAAAGAATTTCAAAGACTTTCAAAGATTTTCAAAGATATTTCAAAAAGCCTTCTAAGATCTTTCGAAGGCCCTTCCTAGAACTTTAAAAGACTATCAAACAATTTGAAAGATCTCTGAAAAAGCTTTCAAAAATCTTTGAAAGATCTTTCTAAGACCTTTCAAAGACTTTAAAAGACTTTGAAAAAATCCTTCAAAGATCTATCAAAGGTCTTTCTAAGACTTTCAAAGACTTTCCAAGACCTTTCAAAGACTTTAGAAGACTTTGAAAAAATGCTTCAAAGATCTTTCACAGGCTTTCGAAGACTTTGAAAGATCTTTCAAAGACTTTCTAAGACTTTTTAAAGACTTTAGAACACTTTGAAAAAATGCTTCAAAGACCTTTCAAAGGCTTTTGAAGATTTTGAAAGATCATTCAAACATC